CTCTCACACTTCCACGCGAGCTAGGACGACGCCCTCGTACCGATAAGCAGGATGTTGATGTCTCCTCTGATTCGCGAGCCGTTCTCGAGGACCTTCTCCACGCCTCCCAGCAACATGCAGAGGATGGCCTTCTTGATGTACTCGTGGCCGTGGATACTGGGAGCCAAGGAACGAGCGAGCTGATCGAACACGTCCTACGAAGGACGAAGATTTAAAGGGTTTAGTGTCACGTTTAGGATTACGCCTCCACGCGTGAGAAGGCAGCCGAGACGACTCACTTTGGAACGAGTCTGACTGAAGTTCCTGATTTTGGCCACGTCGTCAGCGGTAAAGCACGGCGACACCTCCTTGGTCATTTGTTTGATGTGGCAGGCGATCATGATGGTCCTTTGAGGAAGAGAAGGGACGGGTTAGAAGCAGAGACGGACCGATACCGATACGTAATATCGGCTCGGTCCGTCTCTAGTTAGAAGACAAGTGGTAGGCAAGTGAGGCAAACCCGTTAAACCCCAGTTAGCATTTTATTCCAGCTGACCTGAACGTGCCAGAGGTGAAGCCTCCCTTCTTGCCAGGCAGACAGCGGTACGTCCCAACCACCTGCACCCGGTCTCCTGGTTTGACTGCATCCACCAGGTCGTTGTCCAAAATGATGTCCACAGAGCGCGGAAGTTGGCCAGCAGGAGCTTTCTCAGGCATCTCCTGCACTGTGATGGTTTGGTGGTCCTTGTAGATGGACAGCCCAAACTCCGTCTCCAGAGGATTGTTCTCTTCGTCCTGTTTCGAGTCAAACGGGACACGAGATAAATACTTAAATAAAGACAGCGGTCACGCCCAAGTCTACAGAGAATGAGGCACATTTACCTTGGTGGGGTAAATGGCACTGGAGGGGAAGGCATCCAGGGAGGTCAGGTCCGTGTACTTCCTCTCCATCGTCTTCTTAGTGGCTGGACAGTAGTGAACGCTGCGCACTACTTTGGGACGGACGAGGGAACCTACGAAGCAAACAGGAGGCATTAGCCTTCCACACACGTTGATAGAGACTTTGTAACACTTAACGATTACACGAATAAATAAAGACGATATACTCACACTTTGTAATGATGCCCTCCACACAAACCATGCTGCCCAGCAGTCGGGAGGTGAGCGTTCGGGGGGAGACATGCTTGGATCCAAAGCTCCCCTCCAGGCCGATGAAGAACTCCTCGTACTGCTTAGCGTAGGTGCCGTCAACAGAGGCCACCAGGTCCTTCAGGGCCCGCTGGAAGGCCAGCAGCTCTTCAAAGGCATTGTTCATCAGTCTGCAAAGTCAAACCATGGATTTTATTATCAAGGCCTTTCGCGTGTTTTCGAGGGCTATGACATCCTGAGAAAGTCGAGTTTTCCACCCAAACTGCAGTTTCACACAGATTTTTTTTTT